GGAAGAACTTTTTATTTTGTTATACGTTACTAAACGAAAACTATACCAACGACCAAACCAGCGACGACTGTTACTCATGCCTCGACGAGATACCGACAATTTACTACAATGACTTTGTCTTTCTTGGTTCCACACGACTCTTTTGTCGGGATACAGGGAACTTTGACATTGGCCTTCATGTAATTTGCGTTATTCGACGACAAACGAGAATTTTTTTCTGATACTGGTTCGACAAAAAATACGAATGCTTTACCGTTGCCGACAGAGGATGCCTACACTTTCAATATGCAATCTGTTGTGTGACTGACTACAGAATGATTAATTGACAACTTCACCCACCATGCGGGTCAGGCATCCCTTTTCTAGCATGCAAGTTACAACGACGGCCATAACATCTACATTAGTGATATGCCAGGCATCAACCAATTTGCCGTGGCCAGTTACAGAACGAGCGTTTCAATATGCCGCACGGAGCTGAGCTCCGGAACCACGGATTTGATCGCGCAGAAGACCTTAACGTTACTGTAGAGCAACAAATGGCGCCATTATTTGTTGATAGAGCAACTCGATAATCATCTTTCGTTTCCGAATCGACAGCTCTTGCTTGTGTCAGTACATAGATGGGTTCAAAATCTGCATTAAAGATACAAGCTAATAAGCCAAAACTGGTTTATCAGACAGCGTGACCGCAAATTTCCTAAGCTCATATGCATTCTGACAGTTATTCACAAATTATCGACAAAACACCGACTGGTCTGTATTGCAAGTTTATCGATGCAAGACAATGATAATACATTGCTCATATTATTCAGAAACTAATCAATAAAGTTCATACAGAGAATGACAGTTGAATCTGGCACCTCTGTATCATCTCTTCATTTTTTATATTCTTTATCTCCTAATTTATTCACTGCCGGATTTTCATGGCAGAAAATAAAGCAATTGGCGGATTTTCAGTTCTGAATAATTCTGCGGTATTTTCAATATGTACTGATTTCATGCTTTTCTGATAAATGCATCTGTGCACCGAAATCAATGAATTGCGGCTACTTTTAATATAAGCTCAATTCTTTGAATTCCT